GCGAAAGTGAGGGTGTGGCCAGAGGGGGGGGGGCTTTAATCACGAGAGAAACCCTGGGATTTAAATATATAGAGTGTTCCTCTCTTTCCTTTCCCAGACTGGTGTTGTCCGTTGCGCACAGCTTCTGCAGCAGTTGAAATAAAAGATGTTCCCTCTGAAACCTCAATATATATATAGATTTAAAAAATATTTTTTAAATCTATATATATATTGAGGTTTCAGAGGGAACATCTTTTATTTCAACTGCTGCAGAAGCTGTGCGCAACGGACAACACCAGTCTGGGAAAGGAAAGAGAGGAACACTCTATATATTTAAATCCCAGGGTTTCTCTCGTGATTAAAGCCCCCCCCCTCTGGCCACACCCTCACTTTCGCTTTGGTTTTAGTAGCTCCGCCTCCCGGCGTGGGCGGCTCCGGTAATTCGGATTGGGTGAGGCTGGCAACACCTGCGGCCAATGGCGCCGCTCCTTTCCTTTCCGCTGGTTGCTCCGCCAGCGCCTTAGGGACCGCGCTTTGCTGCGCTGGAGGGGAGAGCGCTTAGGAAGGGGCGGGTGCACGTGGGGGGTCTCTCTTCGGGCGTCGTGTCACGTTAAGAGACTGAAGCAAACTTCTCCCCCCCCCCAATCTGGATCGCTTCAATGAGCCATTTCCAAAGGGGTAGCTGTGCTAGGCTCCTGGTCTCATGCCACCCGCCCTCGCAAAGGCAGGTTTAATAATAATAATAATAATAATAATAATAATAATAATAATAATAATAATAATTAGTACCCCACCCATCTGAGTTGGGTGCTGGACGCCTTCCAGCACATATAATCAGCATAAGTAATCAGCAAAGGGAAAGGGACCCCTGACCATTAGATCCAGTCGTGACCAACTCTGGGGTTGTGGCGCTCATCTCGCTTTACTGGCCGAGGGAGCCGGCGTACAGCTTCCGGGTCATGTGGCCAGCATGACTAAGCTGCTTCTTAGTCTGGCGAACCAGAGCAGCGCACAGAAACGCTGTTTACCTTCCCACCAGAGTGGGACCTATTTATCTACTTGCACTTTGACGTCCTTTCGAACTGCTAGGTTGGCAGGAGCAGGGACCGAGCAACGGGAGCTCACCCCGTCGCGGGGATTCGAACCGCTGACCTTCTGATCGGGAAGTCCTAGGCTCTGTAGTTAACCCACAGCGCCACCTGTGTTATACCTTAAAAAAGGCTTCCCTATACTCCAGATGTTTCCTAAATGTTATGTACAGTGGTACCTCGGGTAACAAGACTCTTCAGGTTACAGACGCTTCAGGTTACAGACTCCGCTAACCCAGAAATATAATATTACCTTGGGTTAAGAACTTTGTATCAGGATGAGAACAGAAATCGTGGTCCAGCGGCGCGGCGGCAGCAGGAGGCCCCATTAGCTAAAGTGGTGCTTCAGGTTAAGAACAGTTTCAGGTTAAGAACGGACCTCTGGAACAAATTAAGTACTTAACCCGAGGTACCACTGTACAGTGGATGCTCGGGTTGCGAACGTGATCCTTGTGGGATGCACATTCACAACCCGCAGCATTCGCAACCCACAGCAGCGCATCTGCACTTGCACGGGTTGCGATTCAGTGCTTCTGCACATGTGCAAAGCGTGATTTAGCGCTTCTGCACATGCTCGACTGCCGAAACCTGGAAGTAACCTATTCCGGTACTTCCAGGTTTTGGCAGAACCCGAAAAAACTCAAGCTGAAGCAGCTGTATCCTGAGGTATGACTCTAATTTCTCACAGGGAGCACCCACCCCGCTCAGGGAAAAAAAGAGCTGTTCTCCTAAGTGAGCCACACTGAAATAATGGGGATTTGCTGTGGAGTAGGGTTTGCTGTGGAGAAGCTTGTTTTTGGACTACAACTCCCATCATCCCTAACCAATGGTCCTGCTAGTTAGGGACAATGGGAGTTGTAGTCCAGAAACCCTGCTTTGTAGGAAACTCTGTATTGCTTGCAAGTCCAGCAATGTCTGGAGGGCCACAGGGTCCCGTCCCCCCAGTCTTTGATGGAGTGCCCAAAAATATTGTTTACAGCGTTTCTCAAAGTTGTCCATAGATGGTTGGTATCTGCACGCATTGTCACGTCTGCAAACTGCACATACCCTAATGTGTGGCATAATGGGAAGTGTTATTACATTTTGGGGGTGGTTATGTGCTACCTCTCCTGGTGACCCTTAGGGTGCCTTGCAACTCAACGGTTCTATGATTCTGTGCTGTCCGAGGCATTACAGTGGTACCTCGGGTTACAGACGCTTCAGGTTGCAGACTCCACTAACCCAGAAATAGTACCTCAAGTTAAGAACTTTGCTTCAGGATGAGAACAGAAATCGTGCGGTGGCGGCATGCCGGCAGCAGCAGGAGACCCCATTAGCTAAAGTGGTACCTCAGGTTAAGAACAGTTTCAGGTTAAGAACGGACCTCCAGAACAAATTAAGTTCTTAACCTGACGTACCACTGTATAGAATTGGCCGCTACAAGAATTGGACGATGGACTAGACTGGCCTTTGATTCAGCAGGACTCTTATTACATTTTTTAAGTTGTTGTGTCCCATTTCTTGCAAAAGGATGCATGTTCTTCACATGCAAATAAACAGGCCCCTTAACAGCCGCCACCCCCACCCCCCAATGTTGATAAACCGCCCCCACCTGCAGAGAGCCAGAGGAATCAGCCCTGTTATCTTTTAATTAATTGGTATCCAGAATGCCGTCCCTGATTGGCCAGAAGAAGGAAACACTCACACCTGAGGACCATTTAAAGGTTGGGGGTGTGAGAAACATACACCATTGAAGCCCAAGAAGGAAGTAGATGCTCGCAGGTGGCGGTGTTTTTAAATAGTTTTTAAATAGTTGTATTGTGAAGCAATGGCATTGGTGAGTTGGCAAAAAAATTTTTTTAGAAATCCTATTTGTTTATTGTTAGTGGGAAGTTTAAGGGTATGATAATTATCCATGGCAGGTTTGGGAAATGTTTGATATTTCAGGTGAATTACGACTCCCATCATGCCCGGCCATTGGTTTTGGTTGATGGGAGTTGTAGTTCCACAACATCTGGAGGAATGAAGAGTCCCCACTACAAAATACTGGGACTGCTTGCTTGTATTTATCATTTTGGGAATCCATTATTATTATTATTAAGCTATGCAAGTTTTCTTTTTAGACAATGTTTTTGCCTTTTGTTGGCTAGCATGCTCCTTCCGGCCTTACTACAGCAGAACTTTATATAGAACACAGTATTGATTGATTGATTGATTGATTGATTGAATGAATGAATGAATGAATGAATTTATATATCACCCTATACCCGGAGGTTTCAGGGTGGTTCAAAGAAAAGATCACAATATATAAAATAAAAATTAAAACATTAACCCAAATAACACCCCCCCAAAAAAGAGTCACACTTTAAAATCAGGTCAACCAAAGGCCTGATTAAAGAGGAACGTTTTTGCCTTACACCTAAAGGTGTATAATGAAGGCACCAGGCCAACTTCCCTGGGGAGAGCATTCCACAGGCAGGGAGCCACTGCAGAGAAGGCCCTGTTCTCGTGTTGCCACCCTCCGGACCTCTTAAGGAGGAGGCACATGAAGGAGGGCCTCAGAAGATGATCTCAGGGTCCGGGCAGGTTCATAGTTAGTCCTCATGGAGTTCTTCCATAAAGTGGGTGAGATGGGAAAATCCAATGGCCATCAAAGGGCAATCAATACCTTGATTAGGGTCAACCAGAATAGGATAAAAATAATGGACTGGTTTCTGTTTCAGTATAAATAGCTTCCTGAAAAGACTTGGTATTGAGTTTAACTAATCTGGAAATATCTTATATTAGCCGCAATCATGTAGGAGGTCTACAGTTAAAATGATTGTCCACAACTGATTCATCTCCCCATCTGAAGTATTCTGTTCTCCCAGTAAGAACAAAAGGGGGGAGGGACTGTGTAGACCATATGCTTTGCATGCACAAGTTCCCAGGTTCAATTCCTAGCTAGGCTGTTATCATATCAATATATAATTGACACTTAAGAATAAGATGAGCCAGATTCACCAGTACTACTTCCCCACAAACAAGTAATTTATATTGGATTATGGTATACCATAAAATTTTTCCCCAACTGCATCATTGTCCAGGGCAGTATTGCTCCTACCTCCAAAACCTGTGTTTAAATACATTTCTAGTGACATTTTCCCATGGATTCCGTGCCTATGCAAAGAATCCAAAGTTTGGAAATTGTTTTGAAATATTTTGTAACCATGTTTCCTTGCACATATATGCCCTTTGTTCCTCTGGATATCAGAAGACTGTCTTCTTGGCAGCTGATTTTTTTATGTACCAGTGATTTACCATTTTAAATTTACCATATTATTTAACCTGAAATCAATTTAATGTTCTAATTAGATACACTGGGCGTAGATTAATGAAAACCCTAAAATCACAAAATCAAGACTGAATTATTTTGATTTTAGTAAAATCTGCCCAACCCCTAATTTCAACACCAAAGATTAGCATTAGTATCACATTTGTTTTTAAAAATGTTTAAAATTGGGTGTAATGACCCTGGATGTCTGAAAGTCATCAATCTGTTTAAAGATCATAAAGAGGCAGTTGACTTTAATTTGTTTATCTTTATTTATAAATTCCAAGAACCTGAGGCTGAAAAAGATTATACTATGAGAAATGGGAGCCCTTGAATCTTTCGCATTCTTTTTTTCTTTCTTTTAGCAAATGGTTGCCCGCTTGAATTTGAAGGCCGGGGAACGCATTGAAATCAAAGCCAAGGTGGCCCGAGAAGCCAAAAGGTCTGTATTAATAGTGAAAATGGGATATTTACATTTTCCCCTTGTGGGAGATTGCAATCAAATGCAACTAGCAAACATAGAGCTAGTTTGTGCATGAAGGGGTTAAAACAATAGAACTGTGATTCCTAGACACAGGTCATGCCCCTTCTTCTCTGATGAAGGAGGAAGTGACACCATCTCTCCCTGTTCCTATCCCTTTCCTTCCGCCATGTAAATCAGCCAGGTCTGGTCTTGAGCATTTCAAGCACAGAACGCTTGTTCAGAACTGCAATCTGTATGTTGTACTCAAGAGTATTCTATCTGTGTTCTCTTTGCTGCTGCTTGGATAAATGCATAAACCTGGCCTTTGGAACGGTTTTGTAAGTAAAGCATTTTAAACTTACTATACTGGTGTGGTCTGTTCCATGCTAAGAGGGATAGAAAACAGAAAGCAACGTATGCAACAAAATGGGATACGGAAAAGATTTAACAGCCCGGATTCCCACATTCTACTGCTGAACTTCGCGAGTTTAAACTCTGCTACTGGAGGCTCTCTCCCACTGGAGAGTGTGTTAAGCCCCACATTTTGAATCTAGGCACCCAGCCAATCATTTTACTTATTCACCCCACACATGTGGGCCACAAGGATTATATATCTCCCCTCCCTCGATACCTTTAATTTTTGCATTTTGGAAACATTCTTTGCTTGGAGAATGGCATCACAAAATTCAGGCAAGTGCAAATTTTGAATGATGGCTACATGTCAGTTCTCATGAGTCAGTTTGATAAGATTTAGCCTTGAATGCAAACTGAATCAAATTTCCACCCCATCCCTGTGGGGAGGGCCTGGTAAACCTTGTATCTATACTACAAATTGTCTCCGTGTGCTAATATGAACAGGCATGATATTCCATAGGGTACTCTTGGGGCTGTAGCCTTCTAGTAAAGACAGTACAGTGGTACCTCAGGTTACATACGTTTCAGGTTACATACGCTTCAGGTTACAGACTCCGCTAACCCAGAAATGGTACCTCGGGTTAAGAACTTTGCTTCAGGATGAGAACAGAAATCGTGCTCCGGCGGCGCGGCGGCAGTGGGAGGCCCCATTAGCTAAAGTGGTGCTTCAGGCTAAGAACAGTTTCAGGTTAAGAACGGACCTCCGGAACAAATTAAGTACTTAACCCAAGGTACCACTTTACTGAATTAGATGGACCAATGCTTTAGCTGAGATTGCAGGGGGTTATTCTATGACTCTGTATAAAGCATGTTTTCCCATGTTCCTATCAGATTTACCTTACATATAGGCCAGAATGCCTCGAATCCGCTCCTTCAATTTAACGCTCGATTTAAGACTTTCAACGGAGATAGGGTCGTCGTTTTTAACTCTGATATGGGGAGAGAGCGGGATCTTCTCTTGGACCTGGAACTATTCGTCACAGTAAGTAAGAGGAGAGCCCTATTGCAGGAATAACTTGCGGGGAGAATAGCTGGGGATGTATATCTGAGACCTAAAGGACAAACCAAAACTCAGTAGGTCAATATAATGAGGTGGAAGGGTGAGGGGACCTTGATTTAAAACAGGAATGAGGAATCTGTGGCCCTTGATATGTTGAACAAGAAGTTCCCATAATTCCTAATAATTAGCCCTGCTAGCTGGGACTGAGGGGAGTTCAACAAACAGCTGGAGAACCTTAGCTTCCCAACCGATGAAATAAAATGTTCTCATCCGGCAAAAACCTTGGGCTCTTCCAAATGGCCTGTTTACTGAGCACTCATCCTGATTTGCAAAGCTTACATGGAGGCTAGACTATATCCAGTCTCAAATTAAAGCTGCTTGTTATTTTTATGTGGGATAGAATAATACCCCTTATATCTGGAATTATGAACAGTTTCGTGATTTTTTTTTATGCCCGCCGCTGCTTTTTCTCCACAGTAAACGCGGCCAAGTTTAAGCAACCAGGGCTGCATTCAGACAGCACATAATAAATAATAATAATAATAATAATAATAATAATAATAATAATTATTATTATTATTATTATTATTATTTATTTATTTATACCCCACCCATCTGGCTGAGTTCCCCCAGCCACCCTGGGCGGCTCCCAATCGAATGTTAAAAACAATACAGCATTAAATATTAAAAACTTCCCTGAACAGGGCTGCCTTCAGATGTCTTTTAAAGATAGGATAGCTGCTTATTTCCTTCACATCTGAAGGGAGGGCGTTCCACAGGGCGGGCGCCACCACCGAGAAGGTGCTCTGTTTGGTTCCCTGTAACCTCACTTCTCGCAATGAGGGAACCACCAGAAGGCCCTCAGCGCTGGACCTCAGTGTCCGGGTAGAACGATGGGGGTGGAGACGCTCCTTCAGGTATACAGGACCGAGGCCGTTTAGAACTTTAAAGGTCAGCACCAACACTTTGAATTGTGCTCAGAAACGTACTGGGAGCCAATGCAGATCTCTCAGGACCAGTGTTATGTCACCAGTCTAGCTGCCGCATTCTGGATTAATTGCAGTTTCCAGGTCACCTTCAAAGGTAGCCCCACATAGAGCTCATTGCAGTAGTCCAAGCGGGAGATAACTAGAGTATGTACCACTCTGGCACCACTCTTATCTCATTGACATTTCCTTACCTGCTCTCTCCACCCCCTCAAGTTAATGTGATATTTCACACACTGTAAAAGCCGCTTCCTGGAATCTGGTGGAATCTAGCAGAAGAATAGATCTCATTTCTTTAACCGTTTCCAGCAAAAATCCATTTGCAAACCCATTAACTCGGAAAAATTGAGATGTATGTTTACAAAATTTGCGGTGGTATACCAGCATACTGCTCTTTCCTGCCATTTAAAATTTAGTGCGGCCCAAAAGTCAGTGACACAACACGGCGTTGCTGTTTCAAAACAATGCTAGAAATCAGGACAGAAGCTCTAGCATTTTAACCAGTAAAACTAACACAATAAACTCCACATCTGAATGCAGCCCTTGTATTAAACTCATGCCTAACACTATGTAAAGGTAAAGGGACCCCTGACCATTAGGTCCAGTCGTGGTCGACTCTGGGGTTGCGGTGCTCATCTCGCTTTATTGGCCGAGGGAGCTGGCGTACAGCTTCCGGGTCATGTGGCCAGCATGACTAAGCCGCTTCTGGCGAACCAGAGCAGCGCACGGAAATGCCGTTTACCTTCCCGCCAGAGCGGTACCTATTGATCTACTTGCACTTTGACGTGCTTTCAAACTGCTAGGTTGGCAGGAGCAGCGGGAGCTCACCCCGTCACGGGGATTCGAACCGCCAACCTTCTGATCGGCAAGTCCTAGGCTCTGTGGTTTAACCCACAGTGCCACCCGCGTCCCCTATATAGTTAGGCTTATATTCTCTTGGCAAGTCTCTAGCTTTCCCTCTTGTCCGTCTGCTAACATCATAGCAATGGTTCTTGTTCATGCAAATCAGTATGACAAGAGATGCGTAGTTGATCTAACTCAGGCATCCTCAACCTTCAACCCTCCAGATGTTTTGGACTACAATTCCCATCATCCCTGACCACTGGTCCTGTTAGCTAGGGATCATGCGAGTTGTAGGCCGAAACATCTGGAGGGCCGCAGGTTGGGGATGCCTGATCTAACTCTTCATTTCTCTTTCCAGGTAGCGTTCTCCTTTAACGCCCAAGATATGTTGTTGGAAGTGTTCAACCGGCCAATTGTTAGACTCCCAACCCCACCGGGAATGCAAGTGGTGGAGCACCTCGCTGTAACTGGTGATATCGACGTTAAGTCCATCTCATTCAGCAATCTCTTTCTTGCCCCTGGAAATGGTAACTTTTTAAAATGACGACGTGATCTTCGATTCTTCCCGTTAGTTCTTGCGGTGGTTAGTATGCAATGTAAGTTTCTTTTAAGAAAGCCGAAGCAGATTTAGCCATGTGAAAGACTTGGGAAGTAGCAATGGGCCGTATACTTGCTGACTTTTGTTACCACTGTTGCTTTTATTTTAGAATAAAGCTGCTCTTCTTACTACTCACTGCCTTGATTCTTGGATACAACAATTCTGTTGGACAACTATTGCTCAACTTTAAGCAGGTCTTTAAGCAGAGGCTTGACAACCATATGTCAGGAGTGCTCTGATGGTGTTTCCTGCTTGGCAGGGGGTTGGACTCGATGGCCCTTGTGGTCTCTTCCAACTCTATGATTCTATGATTCTATGATTCTAACTTCCAACAGGTTACATACGCTTCAGGTTACATACACTTCAGGTTACACACTCCGCTAACCCAGATATAGTGCTTCAGGTTAAGAACTTTGCTTCAGGATAAGAACAGAAATCGTGCTCCAGCGGCGCAGCAGCAGCAGGAGGCCCCAATAGCAAAAGTGGTGCTTCAGGTTAAGAACAGACCTCCAGAATGAATTAAGTACTTAACCTGAGGTACCACTGTATTCCACAAGCTTTGTTTTCCTCTCTAAACGCCATGCCACCTGGGACAACGCCATGTTTCTGACGAGGCCAGTGATAAAAGTTCAGGATTCAGAATACAGTGGTACTTCGGTTTACAAACTTAATCTGTTCCTGAAGTCCATTCTTAAACCAAATCTGTTCTTAAACCAAGTAGTGCTTTATCTAAGGAGGCCTTCCGCCGGCGGTGCCCTTCCACCGTTTGGCTTCCGTTCGCAGACTCAGGCAAAGTTCGCAAACCAGAACACTACTTCTGGTTTTGCAGAGTTCTTAAACTGAATAGTTTGTAAACAAGACTGTTTATAAACAGACGTACCACTGTACTTGTAATGCAAAAGGCTTGATCTCAGTGGTGGCAGGTGCCAAGGGGAATGGAATGCCATTATTTTTGCTCTCGTTATCTCCTACTTGGACTACTGCAATGCACTCTACATGGGGCTACCTTTGAAGGTGACCTAGAAACTACAATTAATCCAGAATGCGGCAGCTGGACAGAGGTGACTGGGAGCAGCCACCAAGACCACATAACACCGGTCTTGAAAGACCGACACTGGTTTCCAGTACGTTTCCGGGCACAATTCAAAGTGTTGGTGCTGACCTTTAAAGCCCTAAATGGCCTCAGCCCAGTATACCTGAAGGAGCGTCTCCACCCCCATCATTCTGCCCAGATACTGAGGTCCAGCACCGAGGGCCTTCTGGCAGTTCCCTCACTGCGAGAAGTGAGGTTACAAGGAACCAGGCAGAGGGCATTCTCAGTGGTGGCACCCACCCTGTGGAACACCCTCCCAGCAGATGTCAAGGAAATAAACAACTACCTGAGTTTTAGAAGACACCTGAAGGCAAGGGACGTTTTTAATGTTTGATGCCTTATCGTGTTTTTAATACTCTGTTGGGAGCCGCCTAGAGTGGCTGGGGAAACCCAGCCAGATGAGCAGGGTATTATTATTATTATTATTATTATTATTATTATTATTACCCTGTAATTATCAGTTGCTTACCTCACAAAAGTGACCCCAAGGGGACTGATACAAAAACATTATAAACACTAAAACCAGCATAAACAAGAAGGCAAGGGAGGCCAATGAGCTGACCAACCCTCAGAGGCCTGGGGGACCATTGAAATTGCCCTATTAGAAGGATTTGTGGCTGATGTTCATCTTAAGGAACTGGGAAGGCCTGAATGTACTTGGGCTCAAGTGGCTTCAGGCTTTATTATATATCATTTATTATATACAGTGGTACCTTGCAAGACGAATGCCTCGCAAGACGGAAAACTCGCAAGACGAAAGGGTTTTTTGTTTTTTGAGCTGCTTCGCAAGACGATTTTCCCTATGGGCTTGCTTCTCAAGACGGAAACGTCTTGCAAGTTTCTTTCCTTTTTCTTAACACCGTTAATACAGTTGCGACTTGACTTCGAGGAGCAACTCATAGAACGCGGTGTGGTAGCCTTTTTTGAGGTTTTTGAAGACTTTGGTGATTTTTGAAGCTTTTCCAAAACTTTTCCGACACCGTGCTTCGCAAGACGAAAAAAATCACAAGACGAAAAAACTCGCGGAACGAATTAATTTCGTCTTGCGAGGCACCACTGTATCACCAGATCTTTGAACCTGGCCTAGTAGTGACTCAGCAGCCAATGGGGCTCTCTGAGTAACCTGCTAGAATAACTTATGGTGTGTGTGTGTTTTATCCATGTCAGTCGCTTATGTTTGCAAATGGGTCCATGCCCCCCTCCCTGCAAAAAATAAAATAAAGCAATCGTGGCCCCTGGATTATGTAACTTGCATGCACTGACATATATAAGAGCGACGCCCTCTGACATTTCTGTGTCAAACTCAAATGTACGTAAGAGAAGATACTATTATAGCAGTGACCCTCACTTTTCCCTGTTGTGGGAAGTAAATCTCCTTATCGTGAAACTTAAATGAACTGTGTCAAACTCGCCAGCAAATCGCTATAGCGCAGGAATCCTACACAAGAAGCTGCACTGCCACAACGACACACAATCTGGCGAATTATGCTCTAATGCTGTCGTATAAATCTGTCTAGCTTTACTCTACTAGTACCTGGCTGGAATATTTGGTCCTAGTTCCCACCAAAAAGACCTTTGAGGCGAGAGTCCTGTATAAAAATTTCCAACGTCAATTCATTTTGTATTTGCTGACGTCATTTCTTTACTGCCTTAGGTTGCAAACCCTTCCACAGCTGTGTGCAACAATAAATACAAACAAATCATACAAGTGTTTTGTTCTTTTTAGTACCCCTTGGTACCCAAAGCATTGCAACAAAATTTTAAACGACACCAATATTAACAACGTAGCCTCAAAAAATGAGTAAGGAAACGTAACAGGTGGAAGTGTCTGTGTCGAGCCAAAGGCCTTGTAGGTTGTTTTTTTCTTGTTTTTTGGCTTTTTTAAAGGATGGCTTTGAAAACCTTTTTTTTTAACTAAACAAGGAAGCTGCCAGAGCATCCTGAGATCGTCACCAGGCCTGCTCAAAGCATCTGTTGGGCCCAGGACACTTCTCATGTGTGATCAACTATCCTCTCAACCCTGGCCTGTGATCCAGGTCCATACAGGAACCTCTTCGAGCTCTGCACACCACAATGGGTTAATAGTTGAGTTGCTAGGTAACCCTAGAGCCTTTCTGGCCTGCTGCCTTTGGCTCAAACATGGCTGTTCTCCCTTTTGAGCTGGGTTAGACTGACACAAGGGGAGGGGAGAGAAAAGGAAGGGGAGAAATTAGGTGCTGATGTCTTGCACCAATGCAACTATAGGTCATATTCACACCCTGCACTGTCTTCCGGCCCGCATCCCATCAACGACGCACGTGAGGACGGCGGCCGAGTTGTCAACAACGACGGCCTGATGATGTTAAGTACCAGTGCTCGATTGCAGGCAACGGGTCAAACTCTGGCACTGCCACCCCATTGACTGCCACCATCAGAAGAGAGTTTGCCACTTCGTTGGAAAGCTTCAACCTCTCGTAAGTCCTTATCAGGTTCATAACAACGCAGCCCCGCTTACAGCTTCCTGTAGAGATTCGTAAGCATGCAGAAATTGAGGCAAGTTTGCTCAGCAAAGGAAACGCTTGACGCTCCGCAATGGCCTTCCTGCACAGCTCTGAAAACAAAAGGTCCCTGGCCACGTTTTTAAGTCCGGCCCATTCATCCAGCAGACTTTCCTCGCTGTAGCTGGGAGGGAGAGCGTACTCAAAATATTTCGCCATGGAAAGTACCTCAGCGTCTCCAGAATTGGCAAGGCAGCTCCCGGCAGCAGGCCGGCACACGGTATCAAACACTTCTGTGCTTTTTAAGAGCTGGGGCGATGTCTCGCCGTCAAATCTCTGGTGCAGGTATTCCGCCCCGGTCAGGATGATTTTTGCCCGGTCCACTTGAAACCGGAACTCTCCCATCTCGACCACATCCAAGGAGACCCCTCTGAAAGAACCGTCCTTCACGGCGGCGTTAAACTCTTCCTCCTTCGGTCCCGGCTGTTGGATGAGGTTTTGCAAGGCGAGGTAGGCAGCTTCCACAGCAGCGTTCACTTGCCCGAGCAAGACGCTTTCTCTCTGGAACACTTCCGAGAGGGGTTTGTAAACTTGAAGGAAGTCAATCAAGAAGTGGGAAAACTTGACAAAATGGAAGCTCCTCAAGAACGTCAACATGCCTTTCGCCTTCTGCCCCTCGTGGCTGCCAGATTTTGACAGGCGCTCAAGGTGAGCAACCAAAGCAGGCAAGCTTTCCAGAAGGACGCTTAGAGTTTGCCTCTTGCTCACCACCCACCTGACACTGTTTGACTCCATTAGTTTGGCCATCTTTTGGCCCAGGCGGGGAGCCGCACCATGCAGCTCCCTCAGTCTTTCAGGGGAGGCTTGGAAAAACTTGAACATCGCCCTGATGTGCTTTTCGCAGTCCTTCACAAAGTCAACGTCCCTGTAGCAGGCGCTGATGGCTGCATACTGCAGCTTGTGGGTGACACAATGGGCCGGGGACAGGCGAGGGATCACCTCTTGGAATTTGGCGACGAGCGCACTTTTGCAGGCCGCTATGCTGGCTGCGCCGCCTGTCGCAAGGCCCACGACCCACCCGGGTTTCCTGAATGGGATCTGCAGCTCATCCATGGCTGAAACGGCGGCAGCGAAGCAGGCGTCGGCGGTGTGGCTGGGCAAAGACACCAAGCAAAGGTACGACTCCTTCACATCCGCTCTCTTGAGGTAGCGGATGTAAATCGCCAGGCAGGGCTGGTCGGACGAATCCGTGAAGCCGTCCAAGAGGAGGCAGGCGCAGGGCGAGCGGCAGATGCTGTCAAGTATCTCCTTCCGCAGCGTGTCCGCGATGCACCTTATGAAGAGAGTGCATGCCACCCTGTTCCTGTACCTGGGGATGATTGGGGCTCCCATGACTTGCAGGAGGTCCAGCGCTTTCTCGTAATCGTTCAGCGGCTTTGAGTGGTAAGCGATGTCGTAAGCGGCACTGAAAAGGTGCTCCATGTTCCTCAGCACGTGGCTGGACATCTTAGTCAAGCGCTCGGCCACCGGAGCGCCATCTGGGTCCTCCTTAGCTGTCAGCGCTCGGACGCACAGCTTGTGGGCATTGCTCTTGTTGTGGTGCTTCAGGGTCTCCACTTTGAACGGCCGGGTGTATCCCGTTACTAGTTTGGACACCGGGCCGTGAGCGGGCGGCTTCTCCTTGCACACCACGCAGAAGAGGGTGGTCTGCCCTTTGTCGGCCTCCAGCCACGGGAATTGAGAGAACCATGACTTTTGGATAGATCTGGGGCCTAGTGTCTTTCGGGCTGCTCCCGCTGCACCAGGTTCCCTTCCACAGCTCTCTGAATACAGGTCTGGAGGCCACACTTCCATCGGGGGACACAGCGAGAGGGCATAGTCATCCATCGGGTCTTTTTCGTCTGGGTCGTCCACCATTTCAACCTTGATTATTCCTTTTGGAGAGAAATTGGAGGGATAATGTAGGTTGGTTGGTGTTTTTAATTAGATCAGGTTCCCTGCAGACCCCTTTTTTCAAAATGAAATAAATATTATTATTATTATTATTATTATTATTATTATTATTATTATTAATAATACCCCACCCTCCCCAGCCCCAGCCAAGACCGGGCTGAGGGCAGCTAACACCAGGTATAAAACAATTGATTAAGATACAACTTAAAAACAAGATTAAGTACAACATTAAAATGCAGCCTCATTTCAGTAGAAACTCAAATCAAAAATTTTGGGGGGATGAAAACGTCAAATCTTCACCAAGGCCAACTATCCAGACTGGACCTACGTGGGCCAGAAAAAAGCCAGGGAAGTCCCCAAAGAGGAGTTCCAACACAGGAGAAGAAAGGAAAAAGAAAGAGGGGGAGGGAATCAAGTTGATTCCAAGCCAAAGGCCAGGCGGAACAACTCTGTCTTACAGGCCCTGCAGAAAGAAATCAGATCCTGCAGGGCCCTGGTCTCATGAGACAAAGCGTTCCACCAGGCCAGAGCCAGTGTTGAAAAGGCCCTGGCTCTGGTTGAGGCTAATCTGACTTCCTTAGGGCCCGGAACCTCTAGGGTGTTGCTATTTATGGACCTTAAGGTCCTCTACAAGGCGCTCACGTAAGTACCGTAAATAAATAAATAAGTAAGTAAATAAGTAAATAAAACATCAGCCTTTAAAAACTTCCCTGAACCACGGACCCCCTACTTTTGAAATTTTTGCTGTCTCTATGGTAGTTTTTGTTATGTGAATGGCGCCACAGTTCCCCGGGTGGGCTACACAGAACCCCTGTGGTCCATGGACCATCAATTGGGAGCCAATGAGTTAGATCATTAATGTGTTAACAACAAAAAACCCAGCTAACAACATAAAGTGGTAACTGACCCCATTGCAACAAATTTTTGCAAGCCCTGTCATGGGTATAGCCAGGATTTATGCGGGGGGTGGGGGGCAGGCTTCATGTTAGATGGGCAGAAGTATTTTTATTGATTTACTTCATCCGGGGGGGGGCTGCCTCCCTTCCCCCCCCCTTTGGCTACGCCCATGCACCCTGTGTATGTTAGAATTCCTGCTCCGTGATTGCAGTCATGGGATTGTTGTCTATCACATGACGGTGTATGTTTTGACTCCACAGAGTGGGAAGTGACGGAGACAGGATGTTTGTGTTACTGTGTTCCGTGAAGTGGGACTATTGTCCTTTGTTCTTTTTCTCTTTGCTGTCTGATACTAGAGAGAGAGGGAGACATGTTTCAGTGCTCCGTGTGTGTTTATATGTAAATAATGTAGATTAGCCAAAATGCTGAGTTGCTGAGGTCTGTCACGCAAGGTGCGCAGACTCTGCGGATCCCTAAGTGTGCCGGTGTCTGTTGGCATCGGTCGCTGTGATGTTCGGGCAGAAGAAAGCTTTTAAAGCTCCCGAACGAAAGACCAGGAGGGAGAGAACATGCCAGTCGGGCATGTGTCTCTGCCAGGGTCCTACTCAAGTGTAGGACGAGCTCCGGACAGGGTAGGCTCTTCAAGTTCCAGCCAGGTGATTGTTGGATCTTCGAAGTGCCACCCGCTATGCATGATTTAATTTCAAACTATGTGGGCTAAAACTGGCCATCTGGTGGCAGATGATAGACAGGTGGGCAGTCCCACCCACTTATCAAACTTGGCCCACAGTGGTGAGTTTTCCAACTGCATCTTTGCTGCTGGCTTACCTGCCAGTTTCTGGAAAGTGAGCAGAGAGCTCAGGGGACAAGGAGCAGCCACCAGCACTGATGGCTGTAGTACTAAGGAAGGGGGGGGAGCAACTTGTTGAGACACCCACCCACTCGATAAAAAAGGACTTGTGGCCCTGATAACACCCTCACCCATACACCATGCCAAGGGAGCAGAGACTCGACAAAAACAAGAGGGGATGAGACAGGTCACTTTATGGAAACTCACCTCCAAGGTAGCTCGGCTGAGGCACTGAAACCTCCGACGTTAGGTAATCTGAATGGATAGAAACAGAATACAGTGGTACCTCGGGTTACAGACGCTTCAGGTTACAGACCCAGAAATAGTATCTCGGGTTAAGAACTTTACCTCAGGATGAGAACAGAAATCGTGCTCTGGCGGAGCGGTGGCAGCAGGAGGCCCCATTAGCTAAAGTGGTGCTTCAGGTTAAGAACAGTTTCAGGTTAAGAACAGACCTCCAGAACGAATTAAGTTCTTAACCCGAGGTACCACTGTATCTAAAAAATACTTAACTAGAAGGGAGGGAAGAGCTTTATAGGCTCTGAACAAGCTTTTTGAATATTGCTCTGGTGCATAGAAAGCAGGGAATGATGACCCCAGAAGTGGCAGCTGTTATTATTAATTTAATCCCCTCTGTCCTCCCAAAGGAGCTCAGGGTGTCAAACAATAAAAATGATAAAATTATTTTAAAAAGCCTGAGCCCAGTGAAGTCATTTTCATTTATGGATTTGGATTTACACCACTCCCTTCCACCAGTTCCCAGGGCAGCTAATTTATAAATAATAACAATAATAAATAATAATAGTAATTTTATTATTTATACCCCGCTCATCTGACTGGGTTTCCCCAGAATATGAAAAACACAATAAAACATTAAAAACGCCTAAATTTTTATTCCAGCATATATTAAAACCAAAAGTTGGAATTACAAATATTACAATATGAAAGGTAAGTGGAAAAGCTGTCACTAGAAGTAAAACACCAAGCAGCATAAAGACGGGATTCACAACAGGCTTCAGTACTTTGGAAAAATCAAATGATCTTTGCCTGGGGGTGGAGGCCAAATGTGGCATCGAGGTAGACACCAGGCGAGCCTCTCTGTGGGAACATTCTGTAATCTGGGAGCCACCACTAAGTAGGCCTTTAGCCCTGTCTCTGCCTGCCACAGGCCAAGTAGTCGGGCCATCACAGGGGTTAGAAGCACTTACCTTGATGTTCTTGTCCCCCTGGCTGGTTCTGGCTAAAAGCAGATGCTTTGCAGGATGCGGTTTCTTGGATTAACTGGGAGTTTGGCACAAGGTGTTCTGCAAGGAAGCAATGTTTGCATATTTAGGCTCGTGGGGTGGGTATCGATTGGTCTGTTTTGTTTGAACTCCCACCTTCCACCAAACACAATCTCACCATGGGGTAAATTAACATCTCTGCATGCAAAACGCAGGGAGACCCATTGCGTCCCTACCCACCCACCTGGGATCCCTATACTATACAGGCTCTCTTTTCGCCTTCCTCACGACAAGGTTTTGGGCAAGCTACACCATCTCCACATTGTGCTTACTCTGGTGAGTTTTCTGGTGCAAGGTCAGGTTCTTCCGCAAGGCAAACCTCCGCCTGCAGTCAGAGCATTCGTAAGGCTTCTCTCCCGTGTGGGTCCTCATGTGCCCGATAAGAGCGTATTTGGAAGAGACTATTTTCCCACACAGGGGGCAGGTTGCTTTTTTCTTTGCCGTCTTCTTGTCGCTTGCTGTTTTGAAGCGAGAGGAGGAAAAACAGGAAGCTGTCTTAGTCAATAACGTAAGGAGATCTTGCTGGACCTAGTCCAATATCTGTCAGTTTGCATTTCTTAGTGCATAAAGTATTGATCTGATGTGTAGAGATCTTTCCCATTCTGAATAATACAAGAGGATTCTCGAAGCTACTAGAAGCTTCTCTGTGTGAGAGAAGCAGGCAGAAAGGTCATGATTGTTTGGGTTACACCTTCCAGGAAGCTGGTTTGAACTAGTTCTCTTATCTCTTCCAATTAAGATCATGCTGACTATAAATATAGGCCAAAGGGAGCCTGGGTTTTACTTTCTCGTTCTCTCTCCCTTCTGGTGTGGTGTTCGGTACATAGTACAGTGGTACCTTGGGTTAAGTACTTAATTCGTTCCGGAGGTCCGTTCTTAAACTGAAATTGTTCTTAACCTGAAGCACCACTTTAGCTAATGGGGCCTGCTGCTGCTGCTGCGCCACTGGAGCACGATTTCTGTTCTCATCCTGAAGAAAAGTTCTTAACCCGAGGTACTATTTCTGGGTTAGCGGAGTCTGTAACCTGAAGCGTATGTAACCTGAAGCGTATGTAACCCAAGGTACCACTGTATTTGGATTTGTGACCATTACGACCATTTGCCTTCAGCAGAAAGTAAAGCTCTGCTGGATGAAATACAATTGCCTCTGGTCTATTTTGCGGGACTCTGCGACATGTTTTAAGGTTTTCCTCCAACATCTTGGCCTTACAGGGGCCACCCAGACAACTGGAGGACTTCCACAGTTAGGACCCGAGCACAAGACCACGCTCTCCTCCTGCAGTTTCCAACAACTGGCTCTCAGAAACATCACCACCACCCACCATGAAGCCCAACCATAGTCATCATGGTTGGCAGCTATATAGGGAATTAAACAATTTATCTACTCTAAAAAGTAGAGACATCACCTTGCCAACAAAGGTCCGTATAGTAAAAGCTATGGTTTTCCAGTAGTGATGTATGGAAGTGAGAGCTGGACAGTAAAGAAGGCTGATCGCCGAAGAACTGATGCTTTTGAATTCTTGTGCTGGAGGAGACTCTTGAGAGTCCCATGGACTGCAAGAAGATCAAACCTCTCCATTCTGAAGGAAATCAGCCCTGAGTGCTCACTGGAAGGACAGATCCTGAAGCTGAGGCTCCAATACTTTGGCCACCTCATGAGAAGGGAAGGCTCCCTGGAAAAGACCCTGATGTTGGGAAAGATGGAGGGCACAAGGAGAAGGGGATGACAGAGGACGAGATGGTTGGACAGTGTTCTCGAAGCTACCAGCATGAGTTTGACCAAACTGTGGGAGGCAGTGGAAGACAGGAGTGCCTGGCATGCTCTGGTCCAGGGGGTCATGAAGAGTTGGACACGACTAAACAACAACAACAATCTACCCTGCCTAGGATTGTACCCCCTTCACTGGCAGGGGCTCTCCAGTTGATGCTTGTTCCCACTGCCTGCTACTTGAGTCTTCACTAGAAATACCAGGAATTGAAGGAAATAGATGCTCTTTCACTGAACTTCCATTCCGCAAGCCCCAACAACAGAGATGGGGAACCTGTGGCTTTCTGGATATGGTTGGACTCTGATTCCCATCAGCCTGGGACACCTTTCCCTTGGTGGTTTCCTAGCTGCTTCCTCCCACCATTCCTCCACGCCTATCCAGCCCATGGCAAGAGCAGAGACAGTGGAGGCAGGGAGACAGAAGGGAGAAAATCACACAGGACTAAAAGGAACAGGAGAAGGGGGAACCCTGAGGGAGATAGTGAGAATGTTTTCAAACAAGTGCAGCATCTCACAGTTCAACTGCTAGGTTTTGCACGCCACTGAGGGAACAAATGCCTCCCCCAATTTTCAAGGAGGGGTCCGATGTCAGTATTTTCATTCCTCCCATTGCAAAGATCACCAGATCATGTTTGTTTTACTTTCTGTCTGTGAGAAAGGAGCTGGTGGAAACTACTCTTCCAGACTTCCGTCCCTAGCACTGTGCCTGTTTTTCTTTGATCTGTCCAGAGACACGATGGCAATATGAGGGGAGTGTTGGGATACTGCCAGGGAGACAAAGTCCATCATAGCCCCCAAGCCGGCTGCCGGACGATCCATCGACCTCCCGTAGTCAGGCAGTATCAGCAATTAGCGACACGAAGCCTCAGAAATAGATTGCCACATTCTTAGGCTGGTGCACACTCTATCAGCAGAATTCACACAGCGAGAGATGCACAGCAGGAGAGCATATTTACAAGTTTATTCAACTGTTGGTCAGAACAAAGAAAAACATGACCGCCTGCTTCAGCGTTCAGGCACGAAGAAGGAAACGAAAGCAACTGAAACCATAAACATCCTGTGAACAGGAAATACGCAGACTCTGTGACTCACAAAGCCTGCTCCCTTTTAAGGTGGAACGGAAATATCCTAACAGGGAGCTGTATCTCTTACATGTTATGTTCTTTTATTTGTTTAATCAGTAGAAATAAATTAGGTATGCAACAAAACCTCCACCGCTTTGCTTCCATTACTCTGCTACCTTTGAGGTGCTCACAATAGCAAATGTGAGTCCACTGCACGGGGACCTATTCCTCAGGAATGCTGCTCTCCTGTTCCTGCATTCCTGTGGTCGGAGAATGTGCTCCCGACACCCAACCCATGTAGGCGCTGAAGAGGTGGGCTGTATATGGGTGTACACTCATCCAGACCCCCTTAATATTCCACAGCGGGCCCCGTTGGGCCTCCCCAAGCCTGCAGCAGGCCTCACCTTTGATTGCTTTTTCTCCCATATCTTGAACCCAGGGCTCCGCTCCTTGCTCCAGCCAGAATATCAGGGTCGGTTTGGCAACTGGGAAACCTGTTTGGGAGCAAGGCAGGAAAAAAGAAAAGGGTCATGAGGAAGACAGTGGCACAAGAGGCAAGTATAATATAGATCCCTACGCAAACTTTCAACATCCCTGGAAGTTTAAGGAGCAGAAGCAAATGGAAATGTGTGCAACAGACAGTGCAATCGTATGCATGTATACTCAGAAGTCAGCCCCACTGGTCTCAATGGGGTTTTCTCCTGGGCAAGTATAGGATTGCAGCCGTACGCTGGTAAGGCCCTGTTACTTATCTTCTTTCCCCAAAAAAACAACACACACCGTGACTCCTTTAACTCTGCTAATCGCTCACTCTCCACTATGCATGAGTGATATAGAATTCAGCCATTGGTGCAAGAAGGCAACATTGGTATGGCAGGATGCAATGATTAATGGAATAATCTCTCATAAATTTATAATTCAGGGTTATCATGTGAAAGCATTCATGCAACAGGTTATTCACTTTGGGAATACATTCATTGCTACAGGATGTCCATTAAGCTTAGCAAATTAAAAAAACATCAACTAGTATCTAGTCTGGATTAATAATAATAATTAATAATAATAGTAATAGTAATAGTAATAATAATAATAATAATAATAATAATAATAATAATAATTTATTATTTATACCCCGCCCATCTGGCTGGGCTTCCCCAGCCATTCTGGGCGGCTTCCAACAAAATATTAAAATACAGTAATGCATCAAACATTAAAAGCTTCCCTAAACAGGGCTGCCTTCAGATGTCTTCTAAAAGTCTGGTAGTTGTTTTTCTCTTTGACATTTGATGGGAGGGCATTCTACAGGGCAGAAGGCCCTCTGTCTGGTTCCTGGTAACCTCACTTCTCGCAATGAGGGAACTGCCAGAAGGCCCTCAGCGCTGGACCTCAGTGTCCAGACTGAACGATGGGGGTGGAGACGCTCCTTCAGGTATACTGGACTGTGGCCATTTAGGGCTTTAAAGGTCAGCACCAACACTTTGAATTGCGCTCGGAAACGTACTGGGAGCCAATGTAGGTCTTTCAGGACCGGTGTTATGTGGTCTCGGCAGCCACTCCCGATTAATTAAGTGGCCATTTATTGGCATCTGTACCATACATTCTAATGACCAGTGCTGTGCTTTCCACGTATACATCTAGATCTTTTACATAAATAAAACTGCTGGGAGACACGGGCAATTCAGAGTTTCCCAGGTCATGTGACCTTGGGAAATAGTTCTTTACCCAGGGAGGCCACGTTCTCGTAGTTCTCTTGCATGACCTCCTTGTACAAGGCTTTTTGCTCTGGCTCCAACAGATCCCACTGCCCCTTTGTGAAACAGACGGCCACATCCTCAAAGGTCACCGGCTGCTGGAAGGAAATGAAACAAAGCTCAGCCTCAGGCACACCACCAAAAAAAACTTCACACCTGAACCAAAACAGAGGAACACTAAATGCAACTCCCTGCAACTTGGGAAAAATGAGACCTGGCCTGTATATGCAGCAGGCAAAATAGGCTGCACCACTGCAAGTCGGGGTGGGGGGGAAGGTATTATTTTTAAAATATCGCCCTACACTAAGAGTCACCTTCAACAATAAAAACAACAATGGACTAGCAGGCAAAGGGCCAAGCTGCCTTTCCCCACTGATGTGCTTTTCTTCTATATGCAGGGTGTGGTGTTTCTGTAAGTAAGTAAATAAATAAATCCCCGCCCATCTGGGTGGGCTTCCCCAGCCACTCTGGGCAGCTTCCAACAAAATATTAAAATACCGTAATGCATCAAACATTAAAAGCTTCCCTAAACAGGGCTGCCTTCAGATGTCTTCTAAATGTCAGGTAGTTGTTGTTCTCTTTGACATCTGGTGGGAGGGTGTTCCACAGGGCGGGTGCCACTACCAAGAAGGCCCTCTGCCTGGTTCCCTGTAACTTGGCTTCTCGCAGTGAGGGAACCGCCAGAAGGCCCTCAGAACTGGACCTCAGTGTCAGGGTAGAACGTGGGGGTGGAGACGCTCCTTCAGGTATACTGGACTGAGGCCAGTATAATGGAGGCATTAATGGAAGTATTAAAAAAAAAAAGGTATTCCCACTGGGATCAATGTTCTCCCATTTTGTTCTATTGTATGCAATTTCTTCTTGTGTGTGTGTCTGTTTGCGTGTGTAGGAATTTAGGGTGGGTAGTAAGGAAGGTGGTGGGACCGTGATAGCAGACAACATCTGGTTCCACAGATTAAAAACAGACTTGAAAAGGGGGCTTTGAAGCTTCCTGGTCAAATGAGTGAGAGGGGTTTGGGGTTTCTCCTATATAGCCAAAAACCATGCCATGGTAGACCACACACCTGGACAGACTCTACCGCAGCAACGTCCTTTTCCCAAGGAGGAGATGTTGACCTCAATTGAAACATGGAGCCTGTGTGAACAAGAAACAAAACTGAGGGCACATTTTGGGTGAAATTGATTGATTTTTATTTATAAAAATATTTATATACAGTGGTACCTCGCGTTAAGTACTTAATTTGTTCCGGAGGTCCGTTCTTAACCTGAAACTGTTCTTAACCTGAAGCACCACTTTAGCTAATGGGGCCTCCGGCTGCTGCTGCGCCACCAGAGCACGATTTCTGTTCTCATCCTGAAGCAAAGTTCTTAACCCGAGGTACTATTTCTGGGTTAGCGGAGTATGTAACCTGACGCGTATGTAACCTGAAGTGTATGTAACCCGAGGTACCACTGTACCACTATTTGCAGTGGTTTACGAAAGCTATACATAAAACTATACAATAAGAACATTTTGATAGGAAATCCACTAATTATTATGGCAGATGTGTTCTTAATTTTCTGCATAAACCTGATGGAATGGGAAAGCTTTGAACAGGTGCTTAAAGGTTAAAATGGAAGGTGCTTGCTGAATCTCTACTGGCAGAGTATTCCACCACACAGGGCTTATGATACAAAAGGCCTAGTTGCTTGTTGTCAAATGAGCCTCGACAACTTGGGGAACAACCGACGATGCTCTTGCAGATGATCTCAGTGACTGAGGGTTCCTTGAGATACCCTGGAGCTAAGATGTTCAGTGCTTTGGCTGATTAACAGTCTATGTCCTTTTAAATGTGTGGGTAATGTGTGGGACGCGGGTGCCGCTGTGGGTTAAAGCCTCAGCGCCTAGGACTTGCCGATCGAAAGGTCGGCGGTTCAAATCCCCGCGGCGGGGTGCGCTCCCATTGCTCAGTCCCAGCGCCTGCCAACCTAGCAGTTCGAAAGCACCCCCGGGTGCAAGTAGATAAATAGGGACCGCTTACTAGCGGGAAGGTAAACGGCGTTTCCGTGTGCTGCGCTGGCTCGCCAGATGCAGCTTGTCACGCTGGCCACGTGACCCGGAAGTGTCTGCGGACAGCGCTGGCCCCCGGCCTATAGAGTGAGATGGGAGCACAACCCCAGAGTCTGTCAAGACTGGCCCGTAGGGGCAGGGGTACCTTTACCTTTACCTTATTGGTTTGGTTTGTTTTCTTCTTGTGTGTTTTTTTCTTACGTACTTTATTCTGAATATTTATGTTGTGGATGAAGGGCGATATACAAATTTAATTAATAATAATAATAAATACACATTTTCTCAGAATATTTGAAGCTGATAGGAATGGAAGGCATATCTGCAGAAGGGAGCGGCAAAGTATTATTAATACTGTTTTGCCCTTTAGCAAAACAGCAAGATATGAAAAGGCCTGAAGAGACGGGAACAATCAGATTCCCCTTCCATTTTTGCTGAAACCAGGAGACATTGTGAGCTAGTCACTGCCTCTCACCCTAGCCTACCTTGTGGGGTTCTTGTGGGGATTAATTGAAGAGGTGGGGGAAACCATATGCACCACACCTTGAGTTCCTTGGATTAAAAGGTGGGATAGAAATACTGTTAGTAAAGAGAAGAGAGAGACCCTTTAGTTTGACGCAGCCCAGCTCCTCTCACCTTTTGAAACGACAGGGGCGCAGCATTGATCTATGTTCCCTTCAGGCGCCTAACACAAATTGCTAATGAATGAAAAGAATTTCAGCGGTCCCGGAAGGCAAGCAGTCGACTCTTTCCAAGATTTCTGTCTGCAGATATGAAACCAACAAAAACGCCACTGAGCGACGGGGATGTGGGTGGGGGACAAGAATGAATGGACCGACATTCAGGGGGTGATGCGCCCCTGAAACAACCGGAGCTTGGACCAGGCAGGATTTTATCCAAATGAAGTCCTTTCCAAGGTTTGGAGTCGAGGTGAGATCTTTGCTTTGGGGGTGCCACTACGACACTAGACTGTGCCCGATCCTTCCCCCATATGGATTCAGTCCAATTCCCCCAAACAATAAGCCTCTCTCCATCCCATTCTCCGCCGCCGCCCACACCCCACATAATTCTCTCCCCATATTTCCCTTCCTTGCTTAGCACCACCGCACGTCGAGAAAGACAAAAGGCAGCCCGGGAGCCGACGACGCCACCCCTAAACTGCAAAAAGAAGCCTTACATAAATGAAAAGTGCATTGAACCCGATTCTCCCCTTCATTCCCCTGCGTTGGGTCTCTGCTTGCCTGCAAAGCTGAAGCCATCAGTGCAGTCCCGCAGCTCCTCGGGGCCGCGCTCTGCTGCCGTCGGGGGCGCATCGGGAGGCTCCCAGGCAGCGATCCCTCCAGCAAAGGGATCGCCCCTCTTTCCTGAAGCGGCGGCGACCCACTCCATGGCTCCGGCTCTTCATCCGAAGCTCGGATCCACTAAAACACACACGCACGCACGCTGGAAATCTATTGGCTACGGCGCGCCAGGCGCCCCCTTTCCTGCGGCTGCATTGGAGGCGCCGAGAGCAGCCGGCCTGGTCCCGGGGAATTCCGGGAGTTGTAGTCTCCGAAGCTCCACCCTTTTCCCACTAGTTAATCCGATTCGATTCAGCGCCGCCGAGATGCTGGTGGCGCTGATGCTGTAGGCAAGCAGCCCTGCCGTTTGTAAGAGCTGCCAAAATGAAAGGTAAGGGAGCGAGCGGTCATTGATCCTGTCATGTTCATGACAAAGAATGGAGAATTCCCACTGGAAGGGGACGTCGGAGACCAGGCAATGTTTGTTTGTTTTGAAAAAGCAGGTGCATAATAGGTCCCGTTTTCTTCTCTGCCTGAAATGGCTAGACACGCTTTCAAGGTGGGACATTAGAAGCTACCCATCAGCTTGCGCAACCGGCAAGGCAATGTGGCACGTTTTCACCAGCCTAACAGAATTTTAAGGTCCATTCATAAGTACAGATTCATAAATATGCTTCAGTTGCAGTTTTGAAAACGCCTCCGGTTAAAATATCAAAGTGTTTATTTTATTCATTTAACAAAAAACTTATACTGTATACCACTTGAGTGTAATAAAAACTAAGCAACCCACAAGAATTGTTATTAAAATCATCCATAAAAATAGTTGGACACAAATAATTAAAACATTTTAAAGATAATTAAAATAACAGTAAGAGATTAAAACGTGTCAATGTCTACATGTCTGGGTAAAGGTAAAGGGACCCCTGACCATTAGGTCCAGTCGTGACCGACTCTGGGGTTGCGGCGCTCATCTCACTTTATTGGCCGAGGGAGCCGGCGTACAGCTTCCGAGTCATGTGGCCATCATGACTAAGCCGCTTCTGGCGAACCAGAGCAATGCACGGAAACGCCATTTACCTTCCCGCCGGAGCGGTACCTATTTATCTGCTTGCACTTTTGACATGCTTTCGAACTGCTAGGTTGGCAGGAGCAGGGACTGAGCAACGGGAGCTCACCCCGTCGCGGGGATTCGAACTGCCAACCTTCTGATTGGCAAGTCCTAGGCTCTGTGGTTTAACCCACAGCGCCACCTGCATCCCAACATGTCTGGGTAGGCTTGCCTTAATAAAAATGTTTTCAGCGGGTGCCGAAGAGTATAGCAAAGGTGCTGATGTCAAGTGGCAGGGAGTTCCAAAGTGCAGGTGCTGTCACACAAGATCAATTTCTTATAAGTGCAGAATTCATGTTATAGGGTACCTGTAACAGAACCAGTTCCACAGAATGAAGTAGCTGAGTGGATACGTACTGGGTAAACTGTTGATATGTAGAGGCCACAAACAATGCATTTTGTTCCTATTGGCCATTGATTTTACTTTGACATTGCTGCTGGTTTTAACAACATCCATCTCAAAGGTTGGGACATTGTTACTTTTGTTTGCTTTTATATTTGTAAGCCTTTTTGAGAAACTACTGTGTGGAAAGCATAAATTGTAAAAACAAAGTAAGCTTAATGTACAATGTCCATAAAGCGAGTGATGTCTCCAGGCAGTGTTGAAAATAGCATTCAGTAAAAATGAAGTGGATCCACTATGCACTTTGCTATAGCATCACATAGTCTGAATGTGACCTCTGTGTTTGCAAGCATATACACTCCCTCACACACATGTAAAATTCCAGAGTTTAGATTAGGGACAAGTAAATTCAAGAGCGGGGAGGCAATGATGTGCAGTCCCCCCATATGTATATATGTGTGTGTGTGTGTGTAACCACCCCACATTGTGCAAGACAATAATCAGTTAAAGGGCACATTCTGGCTTGGAGCGGGCGCAGGGTGGGACGTGAGGGGAATGCAGAGTAGGGTCATTGTGGAGTGTGGCCTGGGGATATGGGATGTGGCCTGGGAAGAGTTCCAAAGGCCGGATTGAGAGGCCCCTGGGGCCACATTCAGTCTCTGGGCCTCCGTTTCCCCGCCCCTGTCCTAGGCAGTTGAAATCTCCTCCAACCAAGCTGCTGAAGGAAAGGGTGAATCCAATCAACAAGGTTTCTAGAAAGTTAAGCAGCACATTTGAGAGACAGCTACACTGATTTTAACACTGAACATGTTTCTTCCACTGAGAAATGAAAGTTGTTTAGACACTTTAGTGGAATCCACTTCTTTTCTGAAGAGAGTGAACCTGCTGGAGTCTCTGTTTTTAGCCAATGAAGACTGGTCTCCATGCTGGCCTCCATGCTAGCCAAGTGAAGACTGGTTTCCATGCTGGCCTGACTGAAAAAAGTGCTAAGTGCCACCCATCAGGAAATGAAATGTTGCCCTAGAGAACTGTGCTGGCCTGTGACACCACTTCCCATACTGGATTGTCACTGTGAGTTGCAGCACTGCAGGAAATGAAGAGAATTGCCTGCCTTCTTCATGCATGGCAAATTCAGTGCACCTCACATAAAGCCTGGTATGGGGAGCGGTGGTTAGGGCTGGGAGAAAGCTAGTGATCTCTAACAGCATGAGCTGTGCAAGTGTGTAAGGGGAGAGATGTTGGGAGAAGAAAAGGAAGAAACTGCTTAGGATTTCTGGCCAGATGTGAACACAGAATGCTACCAAGTTTGTGCGCATGTAGCAGCAGTTTTTAAAAATACATAAAAGCATTACAAGGTAGAACCACTAAAAAAGGATGCTGGGAAGAACAACAAACTGCACAGAGTGTGGAGGCTACTGGAAAACCTTCAATAGACAACACTCATGCTGTGTACAATTACTGAGGGGACACTGTAGGCAAATACTGAGTTACAATTATGTATGACTACAGTTAGTAGTTTCTGGATTATGAATTCAGCTCCTACTCAGCGAGTGAAGAGCACACATATAAAATGGGCTACAAGTAAGGCAATCAACCCTAGAAGGCCCTGGAAGTGCTTTTGAGGCATTTTCCCTCCTTCTAATCCACACTCTCCTGTTAAAGGATGTAGTCTCAGTTACCCAAATTACTTCTGATATTCCCCCTTTTCAGTTAAACACAATGAATATTCCAAGCTCAGTGTAAATTATAGCAAACCTCTCTAACCACAGTATTTCCCCAGCATGTGACTTTAAAAACATACACAGTGATAATTAAGGGGTTGGCTCAAATGTCCTCCCCACCTTAGCACTGAGTTATCACAGTATATGTGTGTTGTCCACCACAGAAGTCAACATTACACGTATAATGTAGGAGGTGGGAGTCTATCATATTAATTCAGCATCTCCAACTTGTGATGCATTGTAAGTGTAATCAGATCCATGTTCCCCACCACTTTCTTCCCACTATTATCTATTTTGTGAAATTTATATATCGCTTAATTGTACAAAACCTTAAAGTAGTTTATGTAATCCTCCTGCCCAGAACAAAGGCAAATCAAATTCTCATCTTTTACATTTTTAATGTATTTTATTTTTTAAAAAGAAAAAAAGCCCCACAAAATCATGACATTCAAGTTGGTTATTGAATTTTTCTGTCACAGTCTGTGTTTCTGGGAATTAACAGAAATTGTTTATTATTAATTTAAACCACACACCAGAAATGAGACTAAAAATCAGGCTGGAGAGTGACAAAGAATAATCTGCAGGGGACTTCATCAAAACAAAGTATGAGCAGCCCTGACTGGGGTAAAGGGAGTTATCAGGGAAGGACCCTGAGCACCTGGGTGTAGAAGATCAACGAATAGTTTTGACTGGGCTCTTAAAATTGCTGGCGGCCTGAAGCTGCAGCTGGTAAGCCATAGGGTGGATCTTGAATCCGTAAAGTCTGAAATAGAAAAGGGAAGGGTTAAAATGGAAGATTCAGGGAAGAAAAGCTCAAACAGCTACCAGATATTTCAGTAAAAGGTAGGGATAAACTTTCATTAATTTTCAAACTGAACACCCATTAGGAACACATCACTAAGAGGACAGTGCCAGCCTTGGTGCCCCCCGCCCCGTAACTGTAGTGCCCATTTGCTGCCTTCCCTCTCCAGCTGCTTCCCTGTGGCTCATCTCAGCCCACCACCCTGCCCACCCCATCACCCACAGCACTGCCTGCAAGGCTGTGTGTAGGGAGGCGAAGGCTTCTCCCTATGGATGGGGGGGGGAGGGTTTTCCTCTTCAGCATCTCAGTCCATCTCATCCAAGAATTGAGATTCCAGCTTCTTCCTTCTCCCTTTCTGTCTAGGGAGGAGTGGAAGAAGTTTGCCTTCCAACTGCAAGGGCTCGCCTGCCTCCTGTTTCCTTCCTTCTGGCTCTCTTCAGAAAGGAACACAGACACATACCTGATTCTCATCATTCCCCCCCCCCATTAAAAAAACAATAAAAAGTAATGAAATTAAGCAAATGGTTTCTTTGTGGACTTCAGACCACGTCACAATTTGTGGGGGAATTGGCGTGTGAGGGAGCATTGTTAAGGGAATGTGAGAAGCTGGGATGAATAGCCCTGGATTGTCACTTCTCCAGATGAATTGCTTATTTATGGGGTGACTAGTCTCTCTTCTGCATAAGCTCCAACCTTGGGAGTACTTTTATTACTCCTCTTCTCCATGGGGAAGTAATGTATCTCCCCCCCCTCCCACCCCAGAAATATTGCAAGTATAAGGCTTCTCCTTATGCTTATCTGGATATGGGGGTGGGGGGTTCCCTCTCCAGCATCTCACTCTTCCGCTTTCAATCTACACTCCACCTCATCCAGGAATCAACACAAGGTTTGGCTGCTTCTTCCTTCCCACCTCTCTCTGCCTAGGTAGCAGTTGCCAGGACATTACCCCATTTGCTTCCATCCTTATTTCAGACATTGTGATATATCGGTATATTGCAATGTGTAGCTGGTGTTATATCATGATACTGAAAACCAGATACTGCCCAACCCTACTTCATATGCAAACTATTGGGAGGCAAGCAGCCCAGCCCAACCTGAACAGAGCTGGATACCACTTTTGAGCCAGCCCTGCATCTCAGCCTTCTCAATATCTCCATTCAAGTGATGGAATGGGTAGCAATAAGCTGGGCAGGTCAGCTAAGCAGTGCTGGCCCAGTCAAAAGGCAGTTCTGCTCTCAGGCTTTCTTTCACCACCAAGGACAACTGAGGTTTCTACTTTGTGGTAGAAACCTTCAGCAAATCCTGTCTCCTTACTAGTAGGAGGATATTTTTGCCAGGAAGCTGGAATTTTCTTGGTGAAAGTATGTGTGGCTGTGGCTGCATGTGTGAGAGATGACCTCGTGGCTGGGTATGGGTGGCCCTCAAGCAGGTTAGCTGGAAAGGGTAGCAAGCACCCAATGGAAGTAACAAGAGAAAATGTGGATTTGGTTGGCTGAATTTAAGCAGCAAGGAAGGATAAACCTGTGATCCCAATACTTTCCTGGAATATTTTCACCTGACATCTTTTGAAGCAGTCTTACCTGGGCACAAATTGGTTAGCAGGTCGTTTCGGCCGATACTCCGGGTGCACCATAAACAACATGTGGGGGAAGCCTGTCCCAAAATAGGCCCCATCTGTGTGATGGTGGCGGGAAGATTTGGGGGTGTAGACATCCATGCACTTAGGGCAGTAAAGTTTAACCATGGCCTCCCCTGGGATATCAGATAAGCCTAGGAGTGAAGAAGAAAGCAAAGTTCAAACAAGAGGTGGCTTTGGGGCTCAGACCCAACATCAAACCTAAGTGTTGGCAGTTCTAAGATGAGCAGTTTTCAAGCCTTTTAAACAGATAATTCAACAATAAAAATTCTGAAATAGCCTGTTTGCGCAAGTACCCACCCTCAAGTTTTGATGCTACCTGCAACCCTCCTGGATTCCCTCCAATTAAGTACATCTTTATTGCACTACTCAAGAACTCTGACATGTAATTCAACTTTAGACCCCCTCCCATTAGCTCCTAAAAAACCTCTTCCCCAGTACACAAACTCACCAATGGGCAGCATGGGCTGGTTCTCACAATAAACTCGGGGGCAATAACCAAAGTCTCCTTGCTGGTATTTCTCAAGCTAGAAAAAAGAAAGTGTTTGCAAAAGTTATTAGGACTTCCTCTCCACATTGTGGGAAGACAACTCCAGAGTAAGATTGGTTAGGTCAGGAGGTCATCAAGAATAGCCTTTAAGGAGTTCCAAATCGGGTCTATCACTGGCCACTTAGGACAGCCAAGAGGATATTATAGTATAAGTTAAAGTGCCTTTCCCTTCTTGACTTCATTGCCTCTGATTTCAATGTGGCTATATCAGAGCATTAGCAAATAAGTTACAGGGTGACCTGCTTATACAACAACATAGACATTCACCATTTGGGCAATTCCACGGTTTGTGAGGATGTAGCGGGCATGGATGAGGCCGTAGAGCATTTCAGCTGCCTGTTCAATCAAGTCACTCTGGTTAGGGTTGTCCTCAAGCTCCTCATCTACAAGAGGACAGGAAAAAGTCAAGAGCTAATATAAGAAAAGTACAGGAGAGCCACAGAGACCCTGACAGAGATGAAGGTTCCCCATCATGTGCTCTAGTCCACTGCTGAAACAATTGATCATCATCATCATCCCACCCCTCACCCTAAGGACCCAGGGCAGGTTACAACATTAAAACACAGTGTTAACAACATGTTTAAACACCTTACAATCACAGAAATAAGGTGGATCAAAAAATTATACACCTCAAATGTCAAAAGCAAGGGTAGAAAGATGCATCATCTGCTACAAACAGTTTCTAAGACCACATTATACCTAATGCTAGCACTGCACATGTACAATTCTCTCTCTGCCTCTGTCTTTTACTCCCTTTCCTAGCACACCAAATTCTCGCTGTACAACTTAGTGACAAAACATATTCACTAATTATGCCAGATGTACAGAATAAATAAGGAGGGAAAGTATCAGAAGTCTTTATCGGTTTCTGATCTTCGCTTCTCTAATAAGACTATGGGTTGTATCTAACAAAGCAACTGCTTGCACAACTGAACTCTCCACTCCCTGCTCTAGCGGTTCCACCAAACCACACAGATTTGCGGTGGGGGTGGGGAGTGATTCTGTTGTGTGAATGGAAGCAGTTCTGCTCATGCAATGATTTTTCTGGGTTCAACCCAATGTCATCTATGCCATTTATCAGATACATGAAATAGGCAACTTCATATGGAAAGACAGAATATAAATTTAATTAAGAACACATAATCAGGATTTCCAAAATGTATGGTTTCCAAGGCAAGCTGCTCCACAGAACTGGCCCAATAATTTACATCCTTGCAAATACTTAACCTCTGCTTTTAATGAAGTCTCAGAAACTTCAATTCCAAGTCCCCATGTGCCCTAATGTTAGAGTAGAAAATCAGAGGAGTATTTTGACATTCTGAGCAGTATGCACAATTTTGTTTTAGCAGAATACAAAAAAATATTTTAGAGTAGTATTTAACTAGCCCTCTCTTGATTTGTTTGCCATTTTTTAACAGGAAGTTGTCTCAAATTAATAATCTCACAGACAGACAGGCTTTCAGAGATCTGTGCTTTATGTAGATAAATAATAATAATTAACAATAAATTTTTATTTATACCCTGCCCTTCCCAGTTTAAAAACTGGGCTCAGGGTGGCTAACAGCAAATATAAAACATTGATTAAAATATGACTTTAAAACAACATAAAATACAGCATCCATATCAATAAAATTCTAAAATACAGGGGTCATTTGGGGGCGGGGGACCCAGTCAGTAGACATCAAATGATCACCAGGGATAACTGGCCAAGTTGGTCCTACTACGGCCAGCAAGGAGACCAGGGAAGAATTTAAATGTGGGGTCCCAGAAAGGGTTTCTTCATAGAAGAGGAAAGGGAAAAGGGAATAGAGGATCAGGCTAATTCAAACTGAAGGCCAGGCGGAATAGCTCTGTCTTACAGGCCCTGTGGAAGGAGATCAAGTCCTGCAGGATAAACAGAAGCACCTTGCTGCTAATAATAATAATTAATAATAATAATAATAATAATAATAATAAAAACTTGTACCCATGCTATGTAAATTCTTATTACACGGCAAAATGAAACTTGAAGTCTAGTCATTCCAAAATATGCAAGAAGTTTTAGGGTAGCAGTGTGCCCTCATTAGGATAACCCTGTGACCACTGACCACATTTACTCTTAGTCCCAAATGGCAGGTGGTCTGAGATGTAATCAGTAAAACAAAAAGAACCATCTCTCACCTGGTTCCAAATCGAGGATCATATCCAAGGCCTGGCGATAGTGGGGAACTTGCTCATTGAGGCCAGTCAGGTTGAACTTGTCTTGGATGTAATCTTCATCTACCTAGAATAGAAATAAAAAATACTCAAACTCAAGATCAGCCAAATAAACTATTGTCTCTACCAAGTGACCTATTCTGACTTCTCAGATCCCCTCAGCCTATTTGACATCTCATCCTATACTCACTCACTGGGCAGTAAGCTCCATTGAACTCAGTGGCATTGGGGGTTTTTCTGAGTAGACAAGTACAGCATTACAATGCAAGTAACTAGCTTCCTAAGATTTCCATGAACTTCCAACTAATATACAAAACTCTTCATCCTCTCAAGAAACCCAGGAGTCCCTGTTCACTGCCAACACCCTTCCTACTACATAGTTAGGATATTTTTTTGTAGGGGGGGAATCATGCCATTTTGCTCCCAGCCCCTCTTACTAAAACTACATGCAAACATTGTTGTTGTTTAGTTGTTTAGTCGTGTCTGACTCTTCGTGACCCCATGGACCAGAGCACGCCAGGCACTCCTGTCTTCCTCTGCCTCCTGCAGTTTAGTCAAACTCATGCTGGTAGCTTCTAGAACATTGTCCAACCATCTCGTCCTCTGTCGTCCCCTTCTCCTTGTGCCCTCCATCTTTCCCAACATCAGGGTCTTTTCCAGGGAGTCTTCTCTTCTCATGAGGTGGCCAAAGTATTGGAGCCTCAGCTTCAGGATCTGTCCTTCCAGTGAGCACTCAGGGCTGATTTCCTTCAGAATGGATAGGTTTGATCTTCTTGCAGTCCATAGGACTCTCAAGAGTCTCCTCCAGCACCATAATTCAAAAGCATCAATTCTTTGGCAATCAGCCTTCTTAATGGTCCAGCTCTCATTTCCATACATCACTACTGGGAAAACCATAGCTTTAACACACAAACATACTGAGGTCTTAATCCCAACTCACCTCACAAAAGAATTCATTGCCACGCATGGAGAATGGTGGTGGCAGCATCCCAACTCCTAGCTCCCAGCCCCTCTCTCACAAAATCCACACACACATTTGTTGAGGCCTTCATCCCAACTCACCTCACAGAAGAACTCATTGCCACGCAAGCCACAGAACCAGGAAATCCAGGACACTTCCTCAGAGCTACTCATCTTCCCGTCCTCTGTAGAAAAAAAAGGTGCATCAACAGCCACATTTGCACAACCACTAACACACCTTCTCTTCCAGTTTAACCAGGAAACAGCTCCTTTATAAAAACACTTCTTATGCAAAGCACTTCAGTGGGTATAGAGAGTTTCAGCGCACCCTGTTCCAAGTCAGAAAACACACCCTTTCATTTCAGTGACTGCAGACCGGTATTAGAGAAGCCAACGTGTTCCATTCTACTTGAACGGCATCTCTCTCTCTCTCTCTCTGTTAGAACTAGGGAAAAATCCCTTTGCAGACTAGTTTAACCTCTACCCATGCCCTGCCCTTCTGCACAGAATTGTGAGAACAACACAACTCTTCCTTCCCTTGCTTTCTTGTTTTCTTTCTTTTTTTGCCTATGGCAGGCTCCCAAACGCCCTCCCTTAATCTTGCAGGGCCGTCTCCGTTGCCTAAAATTCCTCCCCTCTACTTTCTGGAGAGTAACCTCCTAAATATATGTCTCAATAACTCACCTCAGGGGGCTCAATTGCCTCAAGGAGAGGAACACGGGGTGCAAACAAGCTTTGGACCGCTAAGGCCTCTGCCAGTTTCCACCGCGCACGCGCCACTCTCACTGATGAAAGAGCATCACGGGACAGTAGTACTTCAGAATAAGGCTGGAGTTAGCAAACAAGATAGAGGAAACTACAAGTCCTAGAGTGCAGCCGCGAAGGAAATGGCAAGCACGTTCTGGGCCGCGGAGCACACTGGGATTTGTAGTCCAAAAGCCCTTTAAGCCGCTGCGCCTTTGAGAAGAACAGGTTTAGGTGGAGTGGTCCAAGACGATCAGTGAGAGGCGTCTAGGTAGACGGGATGTAAAGTTTGCCTCTGCCGCGCTAACCTTTAACGAATGCAGTATGGTAAATATGGTCAAATACTATTTCAATTTAAAAGGAGACCGGAGTAGGAGAGTTCATGAGCGCTTGAGACGGAAGCCTCCTTCGTCAGATAAACTTGCCATAACTGAAATAGCAGCCCGAAGCTCCGAGAAACTTGATTTGTACGGGAAAGACGGCTCATGGATCCCCTACCACGAGCTAGGTACCGATTCAGAATTGAAGCGGTAGCTGCAGCTTTTCCTTACAAAGCGAGGAAAAAGAGGGCGGCTATCAGGCGCGCATCACGGTGACTTCCTGCGCCGTCAGCCCGGTGCAAATCCTCACCGCCGCTCATATTTGCCCCGATTGAAAAGCAGGCGGGCATAGCCTGGGGAATGGTTTCTCGGACGGTGGGGTGGATATAGAGAGCAGATGAAAACATATATTATAACCCCATGGGAGGAGGAGGAAGCAAAGCAAAGTGGGTCTGATCCTATCTGAAGGCATCGCATATTTTAAATACATATTAAATATGCGGAAGAGAGCAAGTGCGTCCACAGAGCGAGAGAGAAAAGTGGGAGGCGCAGAAAAAGCAGGATTGTGGGGCCAAGCATTAGCTGTTATTTTTATGAAGCGCTCAGATTACTAGAATGCAGTCCTCGAAGGAAGGACTGAGTAAAAGCTAATTATAGAAAAGGAAGGAGGGAAAAGAAAAGAAACCAGCTGCTTTCTTAATACATAATAGCCGCGGTTAGGTATGCTCCTCCCTAAAAAGAGCCAAGAAAGTCCTCTATGTGCCTCCATTAGACAGCAAAGACGTTTTAATCCCCCACCCCCTCCGTTATAAGTCTTTGAAGAATATTTTTTCCATTCCAAATCCTACAATTTAGGATCTGAATCGCCCAATTTGGTCTTCTCTCTTGAGCATTATTATTATTATTATTATTATTATTATTATTATTATCAATTAATTTATACCCCTGGGTTTCCCTAGCCACTCGGTGGCTCCCAACAAGAATATTAAAAACACAATAAAACATCAAACATTAAAAACTTCAGATTTTAACCATCCTCATAAGGGTTTGGTCATCAGCATGCATATGGGATCTACTCTTCCAGGTCTCCCACCTGTGGTTCCTCCTCATTTGCTTGCAATGACATCATAATTCATTAATGCATATTTAGCAGGAGACAAGAGTTTGAAGAAGAGGGACCAGAAAGTGATGCATACATTGACCGTAGCGACATAGCACCCATACACTGCACCCGCTGTCCAAGGCCAGTGAACTGCCTTGTGGAGAGATGGGGAGTGGGTGCACTTATGAGGCCAATCCACAACCTCCTTAGGATCCAGTGGTGGCTTGTGGATCCTAGACCAGGTCCAGCACCTAGGAGGTGACGTGGTCCCCATCCTCCTCTTCTGTGAGTAATTTTGTCTACTATTAAGTCAGCTACTCTGTGGCTTGTTTCCCTGTTTAGTTAAGGGAAGAATTTGGTGCAGCTTCCTCTCCAATAAGTGGGCAGAGAATTTCAGGCAGCAATTTCACCAAAAGAAAATTATACCAATTACCCCAGTATGTACAGTGAGCATCGTGGCTGCATGAGGTTTTGAATCCAGGCTCTAGCCCAACAGTCTTAGTACTGACTCTGCAGATTTCAGTACCTCTATAAGTTACAATACAATATAAATAGTATACTAACTAGACTTCAATTTCTTGGAGCTCTTCCAATAATTTATGGCATAGATTAGAATTGGCACATGAAGGGACAACGGCAGAGGCACTGGGATGAGGTGGAAGGAAGGTTGGGGGAAATTTGGTGATTGCAGCAGTTTGCAGGTGTGGGCCCTCCTGCTGGCAAGATGGGGCAACTGCAGTAAAGTGCTTGCTTCTTTCTGTACTGCATATGTTATCATTTACTTTACAGTTCAATCTCTAAAACATGTTTCCTTGTATTTAGTCCCATGGAGTACAGTGGGACTTACTCCCAGGTAAATGCATATAGGTTTGCAGCCCTAATGCAGGATATATCAGCAGGTCCAGACCCACTGAAAAATCCTGATGGGTTTGCTGATGTCTTTTAATGTACATTTTAAAATACTCACTAAATAAGTGCAGGACAGACTTTAGGCTTGTGAGTTTGGGATCAACCTTGTGATTTACTAGGAACCCAAGAGTCACCAACTGCAGCCATTCTTTTAAGCAGCTTGGCTTGTTGTTGTTGTTGCAGCACCATCCTCAAATGTTTTCATATATAAATACTTAATACATTTAGAGCTGCAGTTATATAGCTACGTCTAGGAGCAAGTTCTATTGAACCCTATAGGGATGACATCAGAGTAGACAAGTATAGGATTGTGCTGGCACTTCCCACTCAAAATTTAAATTAAGTTAAAGAAAACTGTTTAGCTTAGCTTTCAACATAAGCCTCCAGAATTATCTTCAACTGGAAGTGATAGGGCCAAGTCACTTCTATGAGGGCAGCGCTTGAATTGGGGGGTGGGAGAGTTGGGGGGGTACCAATTAAATCCACAAATCACATCTCCTGACGTCCTCCCTCACAACTTTAGTCATATCACTCCCATAATTTTCTAAAAATTGTAGCTAAAGGGGCAGTCACAAAAGGAAAGTGGGTGATCCCCCTATAATTCACAGACTACATGAAGAGCAACTAGATTCATTTCCCACTATCCAGTGCAGGCCTCCCATCCACAGTAATTTACCATCCCTGATGCTGGTGCTGCTTCGCCGACTCATTCTGTCTGCAGTGCCCGTTCTCAACATGGCTGTCATTTTAGGTTTTCTCTTAATTAGCCATGCCTGTTCAATGGATATAAATATATAAAGATCAGCATTTATTTTATATATAAATATAATATTTTTCTACCTCACTCTACAGCAAAAATGGTTGCCAGATCAGCTTATAGAGCATGACAGCCACTTCTCCCAGGTTTACAATCTAAGAGGCAGGTACAAAAGGGGAAAAAGGGGAAAGGGAGGAGGACAAGTAACTTTGGCCAATTGTTCAAGTTATATGATAGTGCTTATAATAACCAACCAAAATGGAAATTTGGATTTTCCAAGGACAAACTTTCCTTTCCCCTTCTGAACCACTTGGCAAGATAACAGGCCTATAGTAATAATTAAGCCTAAACCAAATGACTAATACTTAGGTCACTTGGGAAGTTCTGTTCTGACCAGTTCCTTCATCAGTCACCACAGCTTTTTTACAAAAAACTTATGTAACTGAAATTTTTCTCTTATGGTTAGCTGCCTTGAGTTCCTGTTATTGTGCAGAAAGTGTTTTATATAATGTTTTATATAAAAGTGTTTTATATAATGTTTTATATAAAAAATTGTTGCATTCTACCACCTTACCCTTCTTTAATTAATAGTTAATATCACTGTAACATGTTTGATAATTTTGGTTCATTTTCAGTGCAACATTTGTCTGAATTAGTTCAGTTTTAAATTTTACTTTTACCACATGTCTGCCTAAATCTTGATTACTGAAATGGACTGTTGGATGCTTTTTAAGAGTCTTTTTTTTTTTTTTAAGTACAATCCTGCATCCACACCCACACACCCCAATATGGATGGCATGGGGAACTGCATGGCATGTAGCCACCTCTCTGCCAGCCTGTATTAGTGAGGAGGATGGACACTGGTTGGAGGGTGGCTTCCCATAGCTGAGACTCTTGTTTTGTCCATTCTGGTGGGAAGCTGTTGCTGGTAGTTTTAAGCGGAGACAATTATGACTCTGGATCCAAAGCCGCAGAGATCACCCCCGGCTATACCAGCCTGGCATCCACACACACAGCAAATAATAATAAATGCCACCCCACCTTCCGCAGGGGTTGGGATGTGTCGAAGAATTTGCTGTCTTGCTCTGATACTTCCCGTTTGGATTGCTGTTCATTTGTTGCAAGGAACTTTGACGTTCTTTACCTGCTACAAACTCACTTTAAGGGTGATAACACTAGAAAAGGATGTATATAGATCAGCCTTAATTGGGTTTATTTGCGTATCATCCCCTTTCTGGCAAAGTGGGTTTGCGACAGATACAGAACCTGACTAAGGCTGCAATCCTAACTCCTGTTTCCTGGATTCAAAATCCTTTGAATTCAGCAGGAATTATTTCTGAACAGACATAGGCCTCACAGTAAAATTAAGTTATGAGCAACTAATGCCCGCCCACCCCTTTCCACTCACTCAACACAGGGCGAGGGCAAAAGGGCAAATTCTTCGTGAAAAATAAAATAAAATGTAATACCAACACATTCGCAAGTCGCTTGGGAATGCTGTTTCTCACAAGTCTAGTGGGGCAGGGTGCCTATTTTCTAAGTTTCATTAATATGGTCCCTTTTCTTTTTTTAAAAAACAGTTTACTCTCCAGAAAACGCAGGAGCTATGAGGGAAGAGCGAGCCTGCAGTATGCAAATTGGGTTAACCGTTAACTGCCGCGGCGCGAAAACGCTTGGCACGTGACTGCGCCTTGCTCCGGAAAAGGCGGGAAAGCGCGCAAGGCACCAGTCCGCGAGAACAACCGCCGCCGCCAACCTCCTAGGAGCAGACAGCGCATGCGTCTCCATTGCGACAGCGGGGCGCTCCCTCCGACACCGTACTGCGCAGGCGTCAGGTACAGGGAAGGCGGCTTTAACCCAGCGTAAACAGGCAACTTTGTATCCGCTCGCCAGCTGCTGCTAAACAGATCCAGCTTTCGCCAAGGTATATGCTTCTACGCCTGCGCGCCTTATCCCCCCACCTTCCCCGGCGCCCCAGCCTGGCACATGCGCGTTACAAGCCTTTGCCAAGAACTCTGTGAGCGGCGCCATAGAGATTGTTTTGGAAAGGGTAGAGTGACCCGCCGCCTGAATTTCCGGTAAAGGAGAACTGGGTGAGTGTTTTCCTGGGTGGTAAGGAAAGGCCCGGGTCGGTAGGGCTTGTGTTGGGCTTCCCAGAGGCTGGGGGGGGGGGAGAGTAGCCACCCACCTCGCACCCCCATTCCTGCTTCGGGGGTGGAGGGAGACCTTGGCTTGATTTCCTTCGCCCAGGGATCTGGGTGAAGCTCTGGAGAAGGCCCGACGTTCACCCCCCCTCTAGGTTAAAATAGGTTAAAAATGTACACATTTTTATGTGTACACACCACATACATTCAAAGCAAACACACACGCGCAAATCCTGGGAACTCTATCTTAAGGGTGCTGGGAATTGTAGTTCAGCGGGGTGTGAACTATAGTTCCCAGGGTTCAGGAGGCTGCGGGTGGGAAGGTGCTCAGTGTATATCAGGGGTCAGCAGACTTTTTAAGCAAGGGGCCGGTCCACTGTCCCTCAAACCTTGTGGGGGGCCGGACTGTATTTTGGAGGGGAAATGAACGAATTCCTATGCCCCACAAATAACCCAGAAATACATTTTAAGTAAAAGGACACATTCTACTCACGTAAAAACACGCTGATTCCCAGACCATCCGTGGGCTGGATTTAGAAGGTGATTGGGCCAAATCCGGCCCCCTGGTCTTAGTTTGCCTACCCATGGTGTATATACACAGCCAAGGGTTAGGTTGGAGGTGAGGGAGCGGCCTGAGATCCTCAAGAGATTCTCCCACCCAGGTTCCTGTTTTCCCGTTCCCGCCACCCTTCCTACTTCTCTGGGCCTGACTGTCTTATTTCTGGCAAGTCTTTCCCAAAGTTGGTTTCATTTCTTCTGCGCTTCCTCCCAAACGCTGAATGCGGGAGGTGGCAGGCTCTCCTTCTTCCTCGGTGGCTTTGAAGCAGAGGTTGGAGGCCCATCTGTCACGGACGCTCCCGCCGAGATTCCTGCACTGCAGGGGGGTTGGACTAGATGACCCTGGGGGTTCCCCTTCCAACTCTGTGATTCTGTGATTCTCTCCAACCTGCTTCTGCAAGTTTTCTCAAGCAGGGCTTCGGTTGCTGATCTGTAACACTAAGGATACCTGGTTGAACAACAGAGAACACAGTATCTGATGTAGTGTTCAGCATCCTGAGACTCTTTGTGGGGGTTTTAAAAAGTCGGTTTCTAACCATTATGCTTATGGAAACAGGCTTGAAATTATGTTGGTGGGTGACAGCTTAGAAGTTAGAGTAGTCTTAAACAGGATTTCAGGTAGCTGGAGAGCAGATCCATCATTGTCCTTCCTGACTCTTTGCATTTCCTAGCCGTGCCTAACAAAATGAACTATACAAAATAAGCAGTTTCATGCAAATTTGATTTGAGATATTGGCCTGGTTTGGATAACTGTTTGAAGCCCCATAAACCATGGTTTGTGAAACCATAGAAGAGTGTATGGGCCAAAGCACCCTCTGCTCATTCCTCTTCTCTTCGTCTTCTATTGCATATTGTCTTTAACGTGAACTGAGAGCTCTGGTTTAATATAAGGCACAATAGTTGAAGTGAGGAACCCTCAGCCCAAGCACTCATTCACAGCTTCATAAACCATGGTTTATGAAACAATGGAACAGTTGTCCAAACCATGACATTGTATTACAGAACTGAGCTTTTATTAAAGTTTGGCTTTCTAGCACAGAATACAAGATGTACTTATTCAACAACAACAAAAACCTGTTTTTTTAAAAAAAAAATAGAGGTGAAATCTTATGATTTTCTACAGATAAACAACTGGAGCAAGTATTTATATTTTATTTTATTTTTCATAACTTATTTTGGTTTTGCCAGTCACAGAGAGGGGCAAGGAACTATGCAGAGCACTGAAGACTCCCCACCCAACCACTGGAAATCTTGCTCTGCCATATTTCTCTGGCTTCAGACATTTCAGCGGCCATTTGTGTGCATGCTTTAAAGCATGTTTTCGCAAGCTAAATGCACTAGAAATTTCACTTTTCGGAAACATGGATTCTTAGGTCGTTGCTGCGAAATCATTGCACACATTCAGCCTTTATTACTTACCGAAAAATGGCTCTTGGCTTAACACGTAATTCTCTGACTCTTCTTTCAACAGGCTGCGAAGTTCCAGGTTGCAGTTTTGGCTTTATAACCAGAGCCACCCTCTTCCAACATGAACCACGGTCCTCAGCTGATTGCTTTTACTCGTGCCCAGGAGGAATCAGATCTCTGGAGAGATGGGCATGTCCAGAAAAAAAGCTGCAGAGGCTCCCGTCTTGCTGGCCAGGAGGAAGGGAAAACAGCGGGTGAGGCAGCTCGCAGCTTCTATGAGAGCCTTTTGGAAGCTCCAGCTAATCCTGCGAGACCCTCTCATAGGAAGCGAAAGGCGCCTTGCGTACGCCACCGACCTGCGCAAGAGCTTCATCCCGTCCAGAACCACCTGGGACCGACAAGTAGCCGCACAGGGAACAAGTTCCTGAAAGCCGCCCAGGATGGCGACCTGAAATCTCTGCGGACGCTGGCGGAGAAGGAAGGGTGTGATGTGAACTATAGAGACGATTATTATTGGACAGCGATTATGTGTGCAGCTTACGCTGGGCGGGTGGAGGCTGTGAGATATCTCCTGAGCCGCGGTGCTGCCTGGGTAGGGGTCTGTGAGCCTCAAGGCCGGGATGCTATGGATTTGGCTGAGGAGGCAGGACACCAGGATGTGGTGGACGCCCTACGGGAGAGTGAAAGGCCACAGGTGAAGGAGGAACCCTCCAGGTGAGCTTCCTTGTTCCTGAGAATTCAGCTAGGGCTCCTTTGGGAGGAAGAGCAGGATATAAATGTAATAAACTAAATATCCAGTTACTGTCTGGAGAAGAAAGCCTCTGAATGGGTTTGCTTTTAAATGCTGCTTCGGACTATTTCAGAAACCCAGGGAAACCTGCCAATAAAACTGCCACAGTTTTAAGAGATTCCCATCCACTTAAGACACTTCAACTGACCATCAGTTGTGAACATGGAAAGATCTCCCAGAGCAGCAGTAGTCAATATGTGGCTGGAATACCAACTCCCAGTATCCTTATCCAGTGGTTCTTGATGGCTGGGGCTGATGGGAGTTAGAGTCCAAAAGCATCTGGAGGGGGCACCATATTGGTTATCCCTGCTATAGAAGACCATTCCCTGCCACAAACCGTTCACCCCCTTCCTAGCATATCCAGGCCCTACATCCTTCTTTCCACATCTAGGCCCCAAATCACTAGAAGAGCTTAGTTGGAGTTAACCCTCTTGACTTGGGTTTGCATTTGTGTTGTTGTTTTTGTGTGTGTTTTTTGTGTTTATATTTTTTTATTCAAAGTTATAACAAGACATATTATCCAAAAACATATCCTTATTCCCCCCCATTTTCCCTTCCTCCCCCTCCCCCCCAGAACCCACCCCCACCCCACCCCCCGACTTCCCTCAGTTCCATTCTTTGGTTTCTCTAATATTGCTATTTTCTTCATGTTACAAAGTTGTATAGATCCTCAAACTGTTTAGCTGATTACTATCAGTAAAAAGGGACGCGGGTGGCGCTGTGGGTTAAACCACAGACCCCCTTAAAAATCAAATTGCCCTCCTGTGGGGCGTGTGCCCCACGTTGGGTTTTATACCAAAGACCTAGTTCATTATCATTGTGTTTGATACCTGATACTATCTATTTACCTAATGTGTGAGCACACTCACTCACAAACACATACAGAGTGTTAGGGAAGAGAAATGGTTTTTCTGTAGCCACTTCACATCTCCGCAACGCCTTATCTGTTGGCATCCAGAAATCTTCCACTCCTTTGGGAAAGCTGGGAAAGCCGGGTGCCTTACAGAGAGGCAAACATTACCCACTGGTGATGGGGGATCTTTTTACAGCTGAATAAGAGCCCTGCAGGGACGCGGGTGGCGCTGTGGGTTAAACCACAGAGCCTAGGACTTGCCGATCAGAAGGTCGGCGGATTGAATCCCCGTGACGGGGTGAGCTCCCGTTGCTCGGTCCCTGCTCCTGCCAACCTAGCAGTTTGAAAGCACGTCAAAGTGCAAGGAGATAAATAGGGACCGCTCTGGCGGGAAGGTAAACGGTGTTTCCGTGCGCTGCTCTGGTTCACCAGAAGCGGCTTAGTCATGCTGGCCACATGACCCGGAAGCTGTACGCCGGCTCCCTCGGCCTATAGAGCAAGATGAGCGCACAACCCCAGAGTCAGTCACGACTGGACCTAATGGTCAGGGGTCCCTTTAACTTTACCTTATCAGTAAAAAAAATTGTGGATGTTTATTCAAAACCTGCCAAGGAGTCAGATACTTTGTGAAAGGTTCCCATTCATCCTTAAAGTCACAGTTATCCTTGTCCCATAGCTTTTATGTCAATTTTGCCAGTTCTGCATAGTCCATCAATTTTTCTTGCCAGGATTCTTTAGTTAGGGTTTCTTCAGTCTTCCATCCTTGTGCTACCAGAACTCTCGCGGCCGTTGTCGCATACATGAATATGTTTTTCAACTTTTTTGGCAGGT